ACACTATTGTTTCCTTAAGTATACAAATGTGGTGAACAAAGCCTGTGATCAACTGTTGAGGACATTAGACAACAAATTAATCCAAAATGAAGTCATTTGTGATACAAATTAATAATAAATTCTGTTTAGACTAATATTTTATACATTAAACAAATAAAAATGTTTTTTCAAAAATCATTTAATACTCGTATTTATAAAAATCTGTAAAATATTTTTAACATTAATTCATTATTTAATATATTTTCTAAATAATTTCGATTTACTTTAATTTAAAAAACTTAACAATTTTTTTGTACAATAAATATGTGACTCAAAAATAATTGTAAATATATTTTGCGTAAAATTCTTGTCTTAAGAATAATATTAAAAAACAATAATAATTTCCAAACAATAATAATTCGTTTAAAAGATATATTCAAATAGTGTTTCAAAACTATTGACCAGAAGTGGTGGACAAGAGTTTGTTGAGCGGAATGTATGAGGGGTTCAATTGTTCGCTGTTTTCAACGTAAACCAAGAATTTAAACACAAGTGAAGCGGATATCAAACCGATTGTATAACCGGTTAAGACATCGCTCATGAAGTGCCACGAGTTGTGCCATTGAGTGTAACCGGGATATAGGGATGTGATGGCAATCGCGGCAAATAAGGCCAACAAAACGTATTTAATTGGTTTAATCTGAGGCTTAAGTCTGGAGTTGAGATACAGAATGAGAAAAATGCCGGAATAGGTGGCAATGGATGCGTGGCCTGAATAGAAACTGTGTCTCACATTCTTGAGGAAGTGACCATGGTACTCTTTGTTCACGCATTCAAACGATTCTATGTATTTGTCGTTTACACCTATTTTTATAAACAAAATATATGTCAAAAAGTTGTCAATAAAATCATATGAATGGACAGACCGTCTGGACAGTAATGGTCGGCATTGCAGAAGTGGATGGCATGCGGTCTGAGGCGACCGAAGAGGTTCTTCGCCAGCATTACGGCCAAAAAGTTGGCAAAGAGTCCGAAAATGAATGCATTTATATTCTGGTAAATAATTGTCTTGATTTGAGTCTTGGATACACTTTTAGCCACATTTTCGATGACAATCACAACAATGACGGGTATTATCATTGCAATGGTCAGCAGTTGAGCTAAAGTGATCTGAAGTGCATTGAATGGCTGTCTAATGGATGAGTCGTTACAATAAAAGCCATTATGTTTTGGTTCAATGATTATCGACACAAACGCTATTAAAACAAACAAAACTAACAATACTTTTATACCGACTCTCATCTCAAACTACGGCCTCTTTTTTAATTAATCTCTTGTTTTAGTAATACTTGAAGTTTGGGGTCAATTGTCTCATCAAATGTGAGTCAAATTCTTCTCATTATATCTCAACATAAAATGTCAACAAAAAACTGCAAAAAACACAACAAAAATGATTGTTTAAAAAAGCGATTAAATGATAAGAAAATGAATGATAAATGAAATGAAACTTTAAATACCTTGAAATGCAATACAAGACACTATTTGTTCATATAATTCAAGTATTGTAGGGATTGTGACAATCAATGAATGCTATGATAAGCGACCCATCAATGCATTCACAATACAAATCACTTTCATTTGATTTGAACCACTCTTTTATCAATTGATTTATTAGTTATAAATATTAAGTATTGATTATATTGTGAGCAATGCTTTTATGACATTTTAATTGTAAAATCAACTAAAATGTGGCAAAACATTGCATTTGGTTATGAAATGCAAATCTATATAAAACAACAATAAAATTATAATAAATATATTTATTAATGTTTTGGTCTCTCATGTGATGTAAACATGATTTAAATGCCAATTGAATGGCAAAGTGTTGGCCATCTGTTGATTGAAAACTTATATTCACTTTACACTCAAATCTATGCCCAGAATATGGACTTCATTTGCAAATTCTGTATTCTTTCCAATTCTGTTAACATTTCAAATATAAAAGTCTTGTTTTATTTGTATATTTTATGTTTCAATAATTTATTACCAATTTCTAGATCCGGACTCAGTTTTTAGGCTTTAATTTGAGTTTTTTTGTTGCAATTATAATAATATTGTACGCCTTCTCCAGAATTAATTATTTTTATTTATAAATATTAAAAGTAGTTTTAGTTTATTTATAAATGTATAAATATTATAATTATAACATCAATTAAATATATGTAAATTACAAAATAGTTAATTAAAAACAAGACAAACATTTAGTATATTTTTAATAAATATTTCTATAAAAAGTAATGAATATTTATTATTATAATTA